TTGTTATTAAATCATTTTTACTTTAAGCTTCACATGTACAGCACTTTGTGGCAGCTGTGATTGTTTTAAAGTGTCATGATTTTGGCGCCGATGACTGGCTTAATATCTAATTTCATTCACCTGCCTAGCTCAGTCCGTTTTCTCATTGGCGTTAATCTGATCCACCTGCTCCTGCTTCTATTTAACCTGCCTGTTTCCAGTCATCAGAGCGGGTGAGTCACGAGCCAGTGGTGAGAACTTTCAGTGCTACCTGAGTTTTTCTGATTGCCTGTTCTGCCTCTTAACCACTAAGCCCTCCTGTTTCCATCTGATCTGTTTTAACCTGCCTGCTTCCAGTCATCGGGCCAGATTGTTCTCCAGAGAGTGGTGTGCCAGCAGGACCTCAGTGTTTCTGATGACCTGATCCTGTTCTGCCTCTCAACCACTGAGCCTGCCTGTTCCTGTCTGATCTGTTTGCCTGACCTGTATTTGGACTCCTGCTGGATTCTGCCTGTTTGATAAACTTGGAGCTGTTTCCTGTCACTGACCTGGTTTTCCCCCTGGAACCTCTTTGGACTTCTGATCTCCTGTTTCTAAATCCTGAGCACGTCCTCGACCCCGCCTTTGGCTTCGCCCTCTGGATCATCCTGTCCTCCTTTGTCTGCCTGGATCTGGTCTCCTGCTTCATCTCGGTCTTCTGGGGCTGCAGCATCTGGCACACTCTGGGCGGGGCCGGCCGCATGCTGTTGGCAGGCCACCGGCTGGACCCTACACCCCGTTCTCTGTGCTTGGACTGAACTATTAAACCAGGTTAGTGACTCACGTTCATTATCTTCCTCCTCCAGTCACTAACCTGTGTTTCCTTTCTGCAGAGGTTACTTCCTTAGACACCCTAACTGCAGCTCAGTTTTTAAATAAAAATTTTTAATCATCTGTCGGCCTTGAATACTGGGTCCCCTGTTCTGAGCCGTGACATAAAGAGCTTTATGAATAAAGTTGAGTTGAGTTGACTGAGCAAAAACTGATTTGAATGTTTTTTAGAATAATCTTGCACAGTCTCCTCCACCTAGTGATGATATTACAAACACACAGCGACTTTAGGCATATGCTTATATGCTGACAGGAATGTGTATTTTGTCATTAGCATATTATTATTCTCTGTAGTCTGAGCTAAGCTGAGCATCTGGGCAATAATCATTTAAAGAGAAGATCCAATAGAAACTACACACATGCAGCTTCATGCACAAATCACAGAATTATTTCAACAAATCAGCACCATGAGGTTTATTTTAACTGTTCTTGTTTTTTCTGGTGAAAATTGAAGCTTCTCTGAATTCTTCAGTCAAACTAGTTTTTGTATTGTTTTTTTTTTTAAATAATTTTCTCTTATTTCAGGATGTTTTCTTTGATCTATGCTTTCTTTACTGTGAATTATTTGCCAAAACATGCCTTAGAAAAGTCCAGGTTGTGGAGTTGAGTGCACTGAACTGTTTGCAGGTGTTGCACATGCGGCTGTGCAATATTTAAAGAGTACACTGAATCCTTTCATCATCAACGGAACAGCACTACTCCTCACATGTCCAGCAGAATCGATGCTTTTTCTGGAGCAAAGTTCATAGATTGGAACAGGATGAGACTCCCGGTCGGTCATGCTGAGTCTGCTCATCAGCTGAGGTCATCCAGCTTCAGTATGCAGCTGTTATCAACAGAAGCCCCAGATAGTGCTGTCAGCAGTGGACGGTACGAACATATCTGCTTCTCACACTAATGGAAGCAAATAGAACTGCAGTTTATTTAGGTATGTGGAGTACTTCCTGAATACTTTTTCTTCTGGCTGACAAAGTCCCATTTTACCAAAATCTTGTATTCAAATAGCAACAACCAATGTTAGGAGAATTCATAAACACATAGTTGTAGATTTAAATGTATTATCTTATCTGCTACCTGGATGTTAATGTAACAAGTCCAGGAGGGAGACCCAGATGTTCTGTCCTCCAGAGATTGTAACTAACTCATCTCCAGACAAACAGGAATCCATCGTCCCTGCAGGGAATTATGGGGTCTGTAAAGAGTCGCTGTGGCAACCTCTAAAGGAAGACGGCCTGGTATTATACCTGCATCTGTTTCCAGATGCAGGTATAATACTGGTTCCTGCTGGTTCCTGCAGCCTGGATGACACTATTTCCTATTTGGTTTTGAGGTGATTCAGAACATGAGATGAACCCAGACCTCAGGACTTATTGGGGCCATTTTCCTTATCGGGTTTTACAGAGAATCCGTCACATTTTGTTTTAAATTTGATGGACTTGAAAAACAATCTTTGGTTTTCATTCAATCTGTATGATAGAATATTCAGCTGAGGGATTATTCAGTCTTTATGTGTCATCACCTCCCATTTCCTTTAAGTTTAAATGTGTAAATTAGCTGCAGATGTTTGGTGGCATTTTAAACTTCACTGAATGTTAGAAGAAATAGGCTCAGAGCAAATCATGATTCATAGCCTTCATAACCTGTTTGGTTATTTTTAGATATTTAGTTTTACTTTCTGGACAATCTCCTTCATCTTAAAAAATGAAGCAGCACACAACTTCCAATACAGGTAAAAGTGAAAGCAGAAAACACAGTTGAAGGGTCACAATAAGGTTGGTTCAATAGATTCACCTTAAGACAAGTTTAAAAGAATAGATTAGGTTTAAGGGCTATAGTTTTAAAAGTGTATTAATTGGAGTCATGATGATCGAAAGATTGTAGCCCTGCCTCCTGAATTCCACTTTGAATGGACTCAAAACTTTTGCTTTCTGTTTTCCTCTTGTTCCAGTCAGTGAGTCTGACTTACAGGTTTATAAGAAGTTGAAAAACAGGATGCCTTTAAAGCCTTCAAGTGTGAAAGAGGAATGGACAAAGATAGACGCATTGTTGTCGCCTCTGCTGCTCATCATTGAAAGGAATTTGATTGTCTTTTTTTATTGCAGGACACTGATTGTCTTAAAGAAGAATTTTGCAAAAGAAAAAAACATTTTCATGTAGACATATTTAAAATCTATTATTATTTCTATTAATTTAAGCAATTCAAACTGTTTAAGCCGTATGGCAAGTTTTTAATAACATAGGTCCTTCTCAAAATATTAGCATATTGTGATAAAGTTCATTATTTTCCATAATGTAATGATAAAACATCATTGCACACTAACTGAAATATTTCAGGTCTTTTATTGTCTTCATACGGCTGATTCTGGCATACAACCAAAATTCCTATCTCACCAAATTAGCATATTTCATCCGACCAATAAAAGAAAAGTGTTCTTAATACAAAAATAGTCAAACTTTAAATAATTCTGTACAGTTATGCACTCAATACTTGGTGGGGAATACGGTGTGGCATGGAGGCTATCAGCCTGCTGAGGTGTCATGGAGGCCCAGGATGCTTCCATAGCATTTAGCCTTTAGCTCATCCACAGTGTTGGGTCTTGTGTCTCTCAACTTTCTCTTCATAATATCCCACAGATTCTCTGTGGGGTTCAGGTCAGGAGAGTTGGTAGGCTAACTGAGCCCAGTGATACCATGTGATACCATCACTGACTGAGGCTACTTGAAACTGGACTTCTGGCATTTTGGCATTTCCTTCTCCCCAGTCTTCCTCCAGACTCTGGCTCCTTGATTTCCAAATGACGTGTCAAACTGAGCAACAGTCCAGAGCTGCTTCTCTGTAGCCCAGGTCAGGCGCCTCTGCCGCTGTTTCTGGTTCTAAAGTGGCTGACCTGGGGAATGCGGCACCTGTAGCCCATTTCCCGCACACGCCTGTTCATGGTGGCTCTGGATGTTTCTACTCCAGACTCAGTCCACTGCTTCAGGTCCCCCAAGGTCTGGAATTGAACCTTCTCCACAATCTTCCTCAGGATCCGGTCTCCTCTTCTGGCTGTGCAGCGTTTTCTGCCACTTTTTCCTTCCCACTGAGGCGCCTCGATGCAGCAGCACTCTGGGAACAGCCGATTGGTTCAGAAACATCTTTCTGTGTCATAGCCTCTTGTCTGAGGGGGTCAATGATGGCCTTCTGGACAGCAGACAGGTCGGCAGTCTGACCCATGATTGGGGTTCTGAGCGATGAACCAGGCTGGGAGTTTTAAAGGCCTCAGGAATCTCTTGCAGGTGTTTAGAGTTAATTTGTTGATTGAGATGATTAGGTGCATAGCTCGTTTAGAGACCTTTATCATGATATGCTAATTTTGTGAGATAGGAATTTTAGATTTTCATGAGCTGGATGCCAAAGTCATCTGTATTAAGAAAATAAAAGACCTGAAATATTCCAGTTAGTGTGCAATGAAGCTAAAATATATGAATGTTCAAGTTTTATCATTACATTATGGAAAATAATGAACTTTATCACAATATGCTATTTTGAGAAGGACTTGTAGATCAAAGCAATTACTTTCTGATGATGTTTTCGTTCAAAGAGTCCCAGGTGAAAGCTCATTCACATCTGTGGCGCCTCCAGAAATGTTTCATAGCGGGGGCCAATTGAGCCACTAAAAATCTTGGGTTGGCCACTGAAACTAAAAGCCGTAATTTTAGGGTTTGCATCTACTATAGTGGTAAACCTGCCTGTAGAAATCAGAAAGACTTCAGTAAAAACCTCCTCAGATCCTGGTTTATTCTGTGATTTTTAATGTTGCCAGCTGTGCAGGAAATGCTAATCTGATGTTACTACAATTTACACTGGCCAGTGTAAATTTGTGGCCAGTGGGTGGCCACGGGGTGGCCAGTGGGGTTTTTGTTTCTTGGCGGATGTATGCAACCTCTGAGTGCTTTTCTAGTTTTATTTAATTTCACTAGAAAATGCTTTCTTTGCTTGTCTCCATAAAGTGTTTGTCAGTAAATACAGATGAAGTTCAATCTACTGACGTATATATATATAAAAAAAGTTCTCAACAGAATTGTTGGTGTATAAAAATAGCTGAGTACAGCGGCGTTAGAACCTGCCAAGTAATTTTTTCCCTGGTACAATTTAAAACAAAGGCTGTTTGGTGGAGAGGGAGGAGGAACCTGTGTGTCTGGTTTGTTTTTACCTCATGACATCCTGATCTTTCTGATTTGACTCATAATACTTTTCGGAGAAGGGAGCATCAGTGACACGACGCCCAACCCAGAGCTCAGGCACAAAAGGTGAGATGCCAAACTTGTTCTTTTAAAAAGTACATTTGCTGATTACATTTGTTTTCATTGGTTCTGTGCAACAAGGTTCAGAAAAATAAGAAAATTCTATGAAGTTATTTTGTCCTTTAAGGATAGACATAAATGTTTGGTGCTTCTAAGTGCATCTTCCTGCAATTATATTCAAATCATGAAAGGGATCATTTTATTCATGCATAGGGGAATTTAATTTAAACTCAGCAAGTGCTAACTTTCCTTGATATAAACAAACATTTTATTCTAACTGTAATTTATGTTACATTCTGCAGCATATAATAGAATAGAATAGAATAGAATTAATCACCCCAAAGTAGGGAAATTCTGGATGTCATCATCAGTGAGATTATCAGCTAAGATCATTTGATGCAATGAAAAATCTGGATTTTATTACTTGCAAGGTTTTTTATTTGGTTCAAAACAAATTTGATTGAAAATAATCCAGTTAGAATTTGTGGTGAAGTTTAAACAGACTCGTGTAGAAAATGGAAGGAAAGAGCATTTCTTATATATTTTTATCTTTTCTTTTAGACCTAATCATGGCCAATACAATTGTGATCGAGCAACCTCAGTCAATCCCTGTAACTCTGAGCTCTCAGGAATGGAGCACTGACTTGTTTGACTGTTTCAAAGATATTCCGACTTGTAAGTAACATCAGAGTGAGATTAAGCAGATTCAGGGACCCTCGTTTATATTTGCGTCCATCACCTGTATATTCTTGCTTCCTTGAAGGTTGTTTTGCCTACTGGTGCTTGCCCTGCTTTGCATGCAGGACATCCAAAGAGTTTGGAGAGCATGAATGTCTCCCCCTGCTGGACATGTTTGGTGGTTCTGCAATCACCATGTCCATGAGGCTCTCTGTACGACAACGTTATGGCATCAATGTAAGTTGATTAAAGATGAATTGACTGGTTCATTGTGTTTTCCTTGATGTCTGATGACATTAAAACTGCTGTGACCTCCAGGGCACCCTCCAATCGGACTGGTTGTACTCCATGTTCTGCTGCAGCTGTGTCTGGTGTCAGATGTCTCGGGAGATAAAACTGAGGAACCCTCAAACATACATCATCACAAACAAAGGCGTATGAATTTAAAGTCACCATCTGGGGAAAGAAATGTTTTGGTTCTTGGAATGCCGCAGAAATTCTTTGACCTAAGAAAGTTTATCTTTTGTAAATATTCTGTAGAAACCATATCTAGACATGTAATCCATAATATCCTGATTCAGGTTGTATCAATAAAGGGAAATAAATCTGAATAGACTGCATTGTTCTCTTGCCATGGTTTTGCTCTGAAAGAAACAATGGACTGATAAATGTTCCAGCTTGCATTGCTTTGGGACTTTGGAGATTAAATATAACAGAATTTTTCAATTCAGTTTATTGAATGTAGCACCAATTCACAACACATGTCATCTTATGGCATTTTACAGAAACAATTCAGCTAGATCATCCAGTCAGATTGATTCAAAGTTTTCTATCTAAGGAAAACCAGCTGATTGCATCGACTCATTGACTCTTCAGCAATCCCTCACTCTAAGCATGCGTGTAGCGACAGTGGAGAGGAAAAACTCCCTTTGAACAGGAAGAAACCTCCAGCAGAACCAGGCTCAGTGTGAGCGGCCATCTGCTGAGGCCCACTGGGGTTCAAGGAGACAGAAGCAGACATAGAAAAAGAAGCATAGATACAAAAGGCAACTGTCAACCAGCTCCACAGGCGGCCCCGTCCAGGAAACACACAGCCAGGCAGACGAGCTCCGAGCCAGCTCCCATGTCAGAGGATGAAGAGAGCACATCCAGTTAGTCACAGTCAGAGAAACAGGACTACACTGGAAAACAGGCCAAGCTCCAACATCTAGAAACAAAGGTGTTGATGGCAGCAGCACAGCTGATGTTTCTCTCCAGGATGGAGTCACAGTTGAGATGATGAGAAATATGTGAAAAAAGCAGAGAGAACATAAAATAAGAAGTTGAACAAACAAATTCAGCAAAATGGAGAATAGAGAGAGAATGAAGGAGAATGTTGAAAAGGGGTCCTTTATTGAAGAAATGTATCATTTTTGGCAAGGAACAAAGGAGAACACTAACACATTTATATCCTATTCAAATTGCTGAATTAACACATATCCGCAGTACATGGTATGAATGGGTTTTAAACAACTCTGTATTTTAAAGGAGCATTGCACTGTTTAAACCTCAGACATTTAGTTTCATGCTGACACAGGTAAAGAGACGGTGGAAACAATAACAACATTAAAAGCACTTTGTTTCTACTCAAAAACCAGTTGATGAAAATACTATTATTTAAAAAACATCTGTGAAAATGATATTAAAGCTATAAATAACGGGTCACTGGATGTGGAATATAAGGACTGAAACAACTCAGCTGTTTATAGAAACCCCCCGACATGTGATAAAAGGAATGGGGAAAAAAAACAACAACAAAAACAAAAACAAGATCCCTGGCTGCATCAATACCCGTAGGATGCAGAAGGTCAGACTCCTGGGAACAGCACGCTGCAGAGTGAGGCTGGTGGGTGATACGAGCAAAATGCAATGAATTCCATGAGCCTGTCATGTTTATGTTCAGCTCTGCAAACTTTCAAAAGGATTCTTGCAGTACAGTTCTGTATGCATCACAGCCATGAGCAAGGCATTACAGTCAAGCAAAAGGCATGGGCCAGTTTGTCAGCATTGTTGAAACACTAAGAACTATTGAAAGGATTGTTTCTAAGACGGAGGAATGTGGTTTCAAACTGATGATTGAATGTTAATGATTGAGTTAAGAGTCCAGTCACTGTCGTAGAACGGTGTTCGTCTATGAGGGACTGAAGAGCCTGAAAGTATGTTTTCTGTTTGCATTACAATTCAAAGGAGGTCAAACTATTTTTTAAATGAAAGTTAGAAAAATAATTCTATCTTTCTAAAGACATGAGCAACGTCAGAGTCTGGGTTGCTATGAGAGGCAACTGTCTGCCTTTCTGCTTAGAATATTGTTTTTACTTTATCAGTTTTTTAAACATTAACACACCTGATTAGGATAATTAACCAGCAGAACAGAATGTAAGGCATAACTATACACAGTGATTAACCTAAAAGATTTTTTATAAAATGCATTTGGTCCTGATTACACTCGGATCCATAAAGGAAGGTTTAACTCCATCTGGGTTGTACAGCTTGAATCACAGGGGTTTTTAAAAAGGAGTTTTTCTCTATTGGATTTTTTTTTTTTTGTTACAGTGTCCTGTCTGGCAATGTGGCAATAATTAATAAATACAAGAATAATTGTCTAGATGCCAAAAAGATTTTACTTTCACAAATGGAGCAGTACGGCTATCGCTATATTGTTCCACTTGTTTGCAGCAGGGAGTTTTACAGTTTATATGGACACTGCAATGTAAATAGAGCATAAGAGAAAAAAACAGAAGAAAAAAAAGAGAAATGATGAAAGAAAGAGGAGATAGAAAGGAGACAATGATAAAACATTTTCAGTCTGCTTCATCACCTGCAAAGAGTTGCAGAAAGAACAGCACAACCGAAAGACATGGTACGAGACATACAATAAAGCAACACCTTGAAACTATGGCAAAAGTAGTATTATTTAATCTGACATGTACTCTGTGTTTTTCCTCTATTGGATTTCTGAGGCGAGGCTGTAAATGAGTTGGCAGGAAGCAAAGTAGGATAATGCAGGATAGCTGCAGACTTCATGGCTTCAAAATAAAAAAGAACCTGTTTTATATATATTTGTTAATCATCTTAGGACATTTGTCAAGAATCTTTAAACCAGATGCCTGCGTCCCATACAGCATGGCAGAGGTGTTAGGTTGGGCTGAATGAAAACACTTTACTATGATATGGTAGAAAAATGTGAATACCAGCCAGGGGTCCCTTTTAATTCAGTTTCATCCCAATGCATGCTTTGATTCTGTTTAGATAATCCCTCTTCTTTCCATAGATTAAAAGACATGATGTGTGTTTGGTCAATTCTAACTCTAGTACAGAGTTGGTTTTGTGCAGGGTCAGATTTATATGAATAATGTAATTTCAACAAATATACTTTTTTGATGAGGAAATGATTATGATTGAGGGTTAGATATTATTTTATATACAAAGACCTGCAAAACAAAAATGTTATTTGAAAGCAGTTTCAATAACTATTTAATCAATTAAAATGAAACTGGAGAAGCTTCTTATTACCATCAAGGAAAGCAGTTATCTGCAAAGGTTTCTTTGAATATAATGTTTTAAAATAATATTCAAACTATCCTGGCTATTCTTCAACCATCCCCAGTGTTAAATAAGCTAAATCAGGATATCCATGTTACTGATACAAAGAGGGCACCTAAAAAAAGAAACATCCAAACACCTTCAGCTTTTTCATATTTTGTCACTTTTGCAACCAAAAATCACAAAAGTTTTTATTTCAAAGCTAAAAATTACTCAAAACCTTTGTAATCTAACTAACATTATTGATCCCATTAAGTTTTAAGCCCCAAAAAACAAAAATTCAGTTCAGTTAATTCAATTTTATTTGCATTGCACAGATTGACAGCAAGGCTCTTTACAGAGACAGTTCAACCAGATCATCCAGTCAGATTGGTTCAAAGTTTTCAATCTAAGGAAAACCAGCTGATTGCATACAATCATTGACTTGACAGCAATCCCTCACACCAAAAACGCTTGCTGCGACAGTGGAGAGGAAAACTCCTTTTTAAGAGGAAGAAACTTCCAGCAGATCCAGGATCGGTGTGATCTGTTATCTTCCGAGGCCGACGGGGGCTCAAGGAAACTGTCAGGAATCAGAACTAGAATTCAGGAAGAGATACTGAAGTGATTTTTACAAAGCATGTAATAAGAGCTCATGGATCTGTGGCTCTTCAGCTTGGAATAGATGACTGGAATCTCTGTAGAGATAGGAACACAGGTTAATGACCACGCAACTCTGATGCAGAAGCGAGCATGTGAGTCACTAACCTGGTTTTTAAGTTCAGTCCAAGCCCAGAGGAAGGAGCGGAATCCAGCCGAATGATTTTTCACAGCAAGCGGTGGAAGCCGCCTAGGGAGTCCCAGGAGCAGAAGCCAAAGCTGCTGCAGAGCCGAACGATGAGGAGAAGCCAACAGATGAGGAAGAGCAGGAGTATCCGGAAGAAGAATCCAAAGTCGGTGTCGATGAGGAAGCAGAAGTCCAGGCAAGAAGATCAGAGATCCGAAGAAGTATCAAAGGGAAATCCGGGGTTGGGAGACAGATTCAAGGTTGTTAGAGGGATCAGGTAATCAGAATAACACATTGGGTACACTAAAAAACTCACCTACGGCTCAAATAATCTGGCACTGATGGCTGGAACCAAGCAGTTTAAAAAGGAATGGGAACAGGTGGATCTGGTGAATGATAATGAACACAGGACAGAGTTAGGCAGGTGGATGAACTAAACCAAGAATCTGTCATAGTTCTGGTTCTGTTTAGTTTGGTTTTGGACTTATGGACTTTTTCTGTTCAGCCGGTCTCTATTCAGCCACCAGCAGTTATCACAACAGCTCAGACGCCTGCAGACTGCATGGCTTCAAAATAAAAAAGAGAACCTGTTTTTTATATTTCCCCCCCAAATAAATAATGGTCATTATTGTATAAGTATTCTTGCTTTCCCTCTCTACACCTTTCCAGCTAATGCAGCTATTTCCATTGCACAGATCTGTTGTGTCCACAGAGCTGCTTTAGTTTGGAGTTTTTTGTTTCTGTTTTCTCCCCTTCATTTTCAGGGTGTGCCAGGCAGGTGAGGCTCCAAGCTGTTACTCATCAGCCACAATCAAGGAAGCAGTATTTAGAGGAGTGGATTCCCTGAGGCAGACGACAGATGGTTACCTATACCAGAGGTAACTGGGTCCCTCCTCAAGACTTCCAAGTTAGTTGAGCTTGTTCTGATAGTCTTACTTACCAGTCTTGTCTCTGTTTTCCTTTAGTTTTCCTCCTGCTGAAGGCTGGCTCCTGTTCCTCCCTCAACGGTGCTTTCCACTCCTCCCCAAGAGCTGTCTTTCAAGATCCGCTAAAGCTGAGCTCACCTGCCTGTCCACCCTCCAATGCCTAAAGAACCTGGTATCTCCAAGGTCTTCGTCCCCCTCTCTCTGTGGACACTGTTGCTCCCCCTCTCAACCTGTTTCCAAGCTCTGAGAAGTAAGTCTGGCCTCACTGTTCATCTCAACATCATACTGATCACCTGACCTGTTTTGCAGTGAGACACCGCTTTGGATTTCCTGTTTTCTCTGCTTCCAGTCTGAACAATAAAAACCCTTCAAATAAACTCAGTTCTCCTGTGGTACGTACTGCTGCTGCGCCAGAGTCTTGATCCGAAATCATGTCAAGATCAGTTATCATCTGATCGCTGCGCTGGTGGCTGTGCTGAAATCATTGCACTGTTGGCGACACTGATGACGTAGACCTAGTTATATTTGATTACAAATATGTTTTTCCCCCCTGCTCTCAGGTAAAACACTCTCAAAGAGAGAGACTTGAGCTAAAACCGAAACTGAAGGGGGTGGAACAGTTCTCCAGCCACAGAGCTAATGGAGGATTTACATGTGAAAAGGGATTCATAAGTTGTGAAGTACTGTTGGGGGGACTGAGGAGCTGAGTCCCTCAGGAGGGACTGAGGAGCTGAGTCCCTCAGGAGGGACTCAGCTCCTCAGTCCCTGAGGGGGACTCTCGTATCTCTGGGATTTCTAGTGCTCAGGCTGTTCCACAATTTAAGGCTGTTCCGCAGTTTAGGTTCGGTAACCATAAAGGAACAATCGCCCTGCTGTTTATACCAGGACCTACGGACGTCCAGAACCATTTGACTGGCAGACCGGAGAGCTCTGCTGGGGCGATCATCATCTCAGTTAAAGATAAGACCATGAAGTATATGAGACCATGAAGGGCTTTAAAAACAATAATTTAGATTTTAAAATCAATCCAATAACAGACGGGGAGCCAGTGCAGGGAGGAGAGGATGGGAGCGATGTATCTGTGTCTGGATGAACCGGGGAGGAGATGAGCTAATGCTTTCTGCACTAACTGTAACCGTTGGAGTGACGACTGTGGGCGGCCATAGTAGAGAGCGCCGTCACAGTCCAACCCAGAACTGATCAAATAAAAGGCTGGCTTTCACAACAGCATCTATTTGTTGTCTAGAGTTCAGTTCTCGGTCAAAGACAACTCCCACTTTATAAATTCATTAATTCATAAGAATAACTTTTTTTTTTTAGGATTTTATTTTCAGTCACCACATAAACCCAAATGATGTTTATAATGTTGTTTTTCTAAAAATTGACATATCTATTTAACCTGTAATCTTTGAGATCATCATAGTTTTGTGTCTGCAGAGACCTTCATTCATTATCCCAGACAAAAGGGGAATACAAATGAATAACCAGCCGGGTCTATTGTGAAAACCAGAAGCTGGTTGTTCCACCTTTGGTGGCACATTTAAAGCTTTAGAACATTAACAAATGTAATTTATTTTAAAACATATTCATATATTTGAAAATCCGGAGCCAAATTGAGCTGAAACTTTTCACAGTTTCAACACCGTCTCCCTCAGTCTGAGTTATTTCATCCAAATTTCCTTTCAAGATTTGCTAAAACTTTGAATCTCTTTATTGTTAAAAAATCCAATATTGCAGATGAAATGTGGAGAGAGAAAGCTGATTCACATCGTGAACATTTTCCTTTAACTGCAAAGGTTAAACTGAGAGTTTAGTCACATAAAACTATATTCAAATCAATGTTATTTCTGATCAAATTACAAAGCAGAAAGAAGCTTAATTATAGAATTGCGTAATTTTTGACACGTCAAGGACAGTGGCCATCCTCCTCCGGACTGAGTCATCAAAAGTCATCGACACAAAAAATTTATTTTTTTTGTTTTGATGGTACGATGAAAAAAAAAAGATTATGAAAGCACTGTTAAGGTGAAAATAATAATCTTTCAGGTTTATTATGATATCATTTAAAAGAGAAACTCAAAGACTGTTAGACAGGTGACAAAAGTGATAACATTCTTTACTCAAGTGAACGTACCAATTTATCTCTTTTGTTAGAGTGAAAGTATTATAATCCAGGTTCTGAAATGTACTTACTTATAAAAGTAAAATATTTTTCAACTTTAATGAAAATAATATGAGATTTAAAATATAATATGAAAAAGCAGCAATGATGCTCAGTGAGACAGAGGAAGGCTTGTTCAAGCAGAACCAGTAAATCCAGTCCTCTCTCTCTCTGGTGATGAGAGGAGACTTTTATTTTAGAGCTAACGTACCACTAGCCATTTATATTGCCAGGATCCGCTTCCCAGGACTCACTCCTTAGAGCCCAACCATCGAACACAGAGGTGAGCCAGCCGCTTTTTAGAAGGGACATCTAAATATGTTAATATATGTAATATGTTATTTCTCTCTTTATATATATATATATATATATATATGTGTGTGTGTGTGTGTATTTCTTATATGAGATTTATAAAAATTTGTTTTTTCTTCAATACTACTAGTTTTGTTACTTTTGCAATCTGAAAATAGCTCTTTTACTAAAAAAGTCAGCCTCCAAATTGTTTTGATTTTCATTTATTTCACCAAATTAAATATATTTATGAGAAAAAAGATCATATCTATTATGTATAGAAATGATTTATTTTTTATTATTTCAGCTTCTCTGTATAACGTAGCTGTCTGATGTACGATGGTCCCTGTCAGTTTGATTTTATTAGTAGAAGATATTTTTTCTGATTTATGTAGTTAAGCATCAGATGATGGTGAAAACGTTTGATCAGCTGAAGCTTGTCATCTTGTTGTCCAACAACATTGTTTTACGAGGAAACTAAACATTCTTCTTAGAAAATGCAACAGCATTTTTTTTCCAGCCATGTCAGTGTTTATTTTTCTCTGATCAAACTTCCTTATAATGACTCATTTTTTCTTCTAGCTTTCATCATGGAAACTAAAATGGTGATTCACCAGCCTCAGCCAGTGTTGGAGATCCAGAACTCTCATGAGTGGGGGAGCGGCATATGTGACTGCTGTGAGGATATCAGAGAGTGTAAGAATAGGAGCCTTAAACTTTACCTTCAGCTTTAGCTCTTCCATCCAGGCAATCACTGGAGAGAAGAGAAGTGACACCACAGCATAAGTATTCCATGCTAATGTGAAACAAAAACATAAGGTGTGTAGGGCGTGAGAATTACCTCCTAATTGGTTCCTAGAAATGACGTGTCATTTAATCATTAATTTTTTTATGTATCTCAGTCATTTCCATCCCTGAGCTCACGGTGACTTTTTATGTGTATTTGCTGTCCTTTCAGGCTGTCTTGCATTCTGGTGCCTTCCCTGCTTTGCCTGCTTGACCAGCAGAGCGTATGGGGAGCATCTCTGCACCCCGTTACTGGAGTGCTTTGCATATATGATCTCACCAATCACCATGTCCATGAGGACCAGCATGAGAGAGCGCTACAAAATCGAGGTACGGCTTCAAAGGGTTAATCAGACATAAACACTTTATAAAGTAATTTATTGATGAATTTAGGCAAGGCAGATATATTTGTATAGCACAATTCAGTACAAAGACAATGCAAAGTTCTTTACATGATTAAAATACAGGAAGATAAAACAGAATCAAAGCAAGTAGGAAAAAATAAAAAAATAAATAAAATAAAATAAAAAATGCAGAAACAAAAAAAAAGAATATTAAAAACCGTTGGATTAAAGGAAATATGTTTTAGTTGAACTGTTTAACTAGAGCAGTTGAAGGCAATCCTAAACAAACGTGTTTTTAGTCTTGATTTAAAGGAACTCAGGCTTTCCGCACTTTTCCAGTTTTCTGGAAGTTTGTTCCAGATAAGTGGAGCATAGGAACTAAATGCTGCTTCTCCATGTTTAGTTCTGGTTCTAGGTCTGCAGAGCAGGCTGGAGCCAGAAGACCTGAGTGGTCTGGAGGGTTGATACACTGATAGCAGGTCTGTGATGTATTTAGGTGCTAAGCCATTCAGAGATTGATAGACTAACAGAAGGATTTTAAAGTCTATTCTCTGAGATACAGGGAGCCAGTGGAAGGACTTTAGAACCGGGGTGATGTGCTCTACTTTCTTAGTCTTAGTGAGGACACGGGCAGCAGCGTTCTGGATCAGCTGCAGCTGTCTGATCCACTTTTTAGGCAGACCTGTGAAAAACCGTTGCAGTAATCAATTCGACTAAAAATAAACCATGGATTAGTTTTTCCAGATCATGCTGAGACATTAGTCCTTTAATCCTGGAAATGTTCTCCAGGTGATAGAAAGCCGACCTTGTAATTGTCTTTAAATCCTTTTGGAGGTTCAAGTCTGAATCCAGCACTACACCTAGATTTCGGGCGGGATCAGTGGTTACTAGCTGAAGCAACTGAAGCTGTGTGCTAACTTTAGATCTCTCCTCTATTGGTCCAAAGATTATTACCTCAGTTTGGTTTTTATTCAGTTGAAGAAAATGATGGCACATCCAGGCATTGATTTCTTCTAAGCATTTCCTCAGTGCTTGAATTGGTTCATAGTCACCTGGTGACATGGTGATGTAAAGCTGTGTGTCGTCTGCATAGTTATGGTAGCTGATGTTTTTTATTAACTGAGCAAGAGGGAGCATGTAGATATTGAATAGGAGGGGACCCAGGATGGACCCTTGGGGAACCCCACATGTGATTTTTGTCATCTCTGATGTAAAGTTGCCTACTGACACAAAAAAGTCCCTGTCCTTTAAGTAGGATTTAAACTAGTTGAGAGCTGTACCAGAGAGGCCAGAAGAAAGTGTTTTTTTTTTTTTTTTTTTACTGTAGAGACCTTTATGCACAGTAATTAATCAGTAAATACGCACAGACAAAAGGGGAATAGAGATGAATAGTCATCCTGGTCTATTGAGAAATCCTAAGAACTGTTCGTTCCACCCTTGGCCACAACAAAGGTCCAGCTAACAGGGATTTGCTTTCATAGAAACTGGGAAGGGTTCTGGAAAAAATGTATTTCATTGAAAGTTTTTTTTAGCATTGTAGGGCCTTTTTCAGGCCATAAACCTGCATCTCAGTTGGATTTAACACCAACACTCCAAAACTTTATGAAAATAGGTAGATATGTGAGCTTGTTGGTGTGTTTTCATTAATTAAAGTACATCTTAACCAAAGATCGGGTAAAAAAAATATTTCTGGATATTCTCTATCAGAATTCTGGGCTAGAGAATCAAACTCCATCAATTATTAACAAAACAAAACATCCCAAACCTGCAGTGGGATTAGGTTTTGTTCTATTTTAGGACCTCCTGGATGAGCTGTTGATGATGTGTATGTTTGGGAATCTAGCTGGGTTCACCATTGTTCCCTGTTTACCTAAAACAGGGCATGATATGTAACTGTGCCTTTTTTTTTTTTTTACCTTTTATGTTATCAGACTGGTCATTTTGATGCTTCCTTCTTCTTATACTGGAATAAAACTACTCAGGCCTGTGGCTTGTCAAATGATCATTATCATAGTTTGAGAAAATTTTAATTTAACTCTGTTTATGTTTGTCTGAATAAAAGAACAGCGTAATGATGTGGTTAGTAATTATCTTCTAATAACCCCCTATGTGTGTTATGCCCAACATGTTGTTCAGTTTAACCAGATGAATGTCTCTGATCCACAGGGCTCCATTGCTAGGGACTGTGTTTACGTCACCTTCTGCACATCCTGCGTTTGGTGTCAGATGTCCAGAGAGATGAAGAGAAGGAGGATCCAAATCGTTATGGTCGACGCAAAAAACATATGAGCTCATTCTAAATTTAATAACAAACAAAAAAAACATGTAAATAGCGGCTATAAACTAAACTCGTAAAAAGTGTGTCCGAATCACAACTATATACTTTTTAGTAATGATTTTTGTCATTAATTATTTGGTAAAGTAAATATTTAGTGCTGATATATTTTTGCATTTGGAAACGCACAATAAATAACATTTTAAGAAAAGTTTTTTTTTTCTCTGCATCAGGGTTTATATACATTTATCTGCTTCTACTTTCAAGGAAACTTTCAATGCATTTAGCCTTAAAACTTTAACATTCCTCAGTGTCAAAGTTTTGAACTTTTTTGTTCTGTTTAAATTTTCTTATCCAGTTTATTGGTTTCATTTCTGTTTTGTGTTATTCTAGTTGTTTCCTGGTTGTATTTGATCTGTTATGTATTTCTTCTTTACCCTCTCTTGCCCCCTTGTTTCAGTCTCCTTCTCCTAGCTCCATTCTAGATCCTTCTTTCCACATCTGCTCCCAATCTGTTGATTACTCTGTTCTGTATTCTGTTTGGCATTCATCCTCCTCCTCTTCGGTTACTGTTTTCTGGATTCTCTTCATTCATTCATTCCCTCCTTGATCTGTGCGTGTTTTCACTGCTCCCTTAGACTTAGACAAACGTTATTGTCATCTTGTAAACACAAAGTGTATACAAAAAGAAATTTCGATGCATATAGCTTTTCAACAGTGAATGAAAACCTAACGACGGTGAAATTAATTACAATTTATAAAATGCAGCAGTGATCAGAATGTAGGAGAAAAGGAAAACCAGTTTAAAGTCCTGGTGCAAAAGGCATTGATATGGAAAGGTTCAGCGCAGTGCAAATAAGTGAATATGGTGCAAAATGCAGTCGAACATCGAGTTGTGTTCTATTTTAACAACATATTCTCATTATCAGTTCGTATGAAATCGTAAGAAAAGTTATACACAGTATTTCGTACGTTTTTGACGTTTTTCCTCGAAAAAACATATCAGTGCGCAGCCAGACAGACGAGAAAAGGAGATCCGCGGACGGACGTAAAACTGGGACGGACAGTGCAATAAATACTTCATGATGTCTCTCACTAGGTTGCTTGCTGTTTTGTATCTTAGGGTTAGGGTTAATTGTATGTTAAATTCTATGTTATTGAATGGTGTGTAAGATGCCCAAGGATATCTTGTCTCAAGGCAAGACGTAAAAATACGACGAAATACAACAACAAAAAACGTCAAAAATGTACGAAATACTGTGTGTAACTTTTCGTACGATTTCATACGAACTGATAATGAGAATACACTGATTTGAAGGGATTATAAAAAATTATCCACATTGATAGTGCAACTGATGTTGGTAGTGATATGATGTTTTCAAGTGTCATGCAGAGTCCAGTTATAGTTTCATCAGTTCCTCAGTGTGATGGCGGTGGGGAAGAAGCTGCTGCAGAACCTGCTGGTCCTGCATTGAATGCTGTGAAGCCTCTTCCCAGAGGGCAGCAGGGAGAACAGTCCATGGTGGGGGGGTGAGGGCATCGGCGTCGCCAGACCCCATTTACTGGGGCACGTGCCCCAGTATAAATGAGCTGTGCCCCAGTATAAATCTCATGAATATTTGCAACAGTGATACATTTTTTTAATGCATCAATTTAGATAATTCCAACGGGAGGAGACGTATATTTCTACTCAAATGCGCAGCAAGTGTGTTGTTAACTCCAAATTGAGGATGTATTAGCGCCCCCACGTCAGCGCTTGTCACTGCATGAACTGCAGGTAAACTAACGCGCTGCTCTCAGCTGTTTTGGATGGGACACTGTGCGGCCACGACGCATTTTTAGTTCTGGTAACGTTTCTTACCTGTCAATTTTATTATTTTCCCAGTGAAACCACATGATTTATAGGCTACTAACTGAAAATTACTGCATTGGTTTGTAGATGGATATCAGGAAATTCCTCAGACGAAGCAGAGACAGGGAAGCAGTAAAACAAGATGAGAGAGAGGGAAGTAAGGTCCCGTAATGAATTAGTGATTTAAGCTAACTAGTTACATTAGGAATGTTATAAGCAATATGATAGATATTTACATAATTATAGATTTACGTTTTTTAATGTTTGCTGTAGAGAATGAGAATGAAGGTGCTGGAGTAGGAAAGGGAGGAGGAGGCGAGACTGACAGGCAAGAGACAGGTGAAGGACAGGAGAGACAGGACCATGAAGGTGATGAGGGAGCAACAACCAGCGTCCACAAACAAGAAGGGGACATTAGTGACTTAGGGGGAAACATGATGGTCCTAAACAAGTGAAGTTGTCCCAGTATCCCCAGGACAAATTTGGAGTTAAAAAAACTTTCATTTAATTCAAAATGGTTTGAAAGCTTTTTATGGTTTAAAAATAAAGCCTTGTCATCAAGGATATGCAGTGTGTTTTGAACTTGCTTGATAACATCATGTTCCCCACACTAACGCAGGTCATCCAGATCTCCCTCACCATCCCAGTCTAGGTCAATCAGTGTGTTGAGAAGGCTCCACACTTGGCTGAGGTGCACAATGGGACAAGACAGGCTCCATCATCTGGCTATTTTATCAGTTGAAAAGGAAGAACTTTCTAAGCTGAGTCACAGTCTAGTGATTGACCACTTTGCAAAAATGATAAATAGGAGGTACACTTTAATGCTCAAAAAATAAAAGAAAAACTTAGTTCATGTTGAGTTAACATTTCCCCTGAACTAAAACTCTGAAACCTAGGAATTAATGATTACCGTATTTTCACGACCATAAGACGCACCGTACTAAAAGGCGCACTCTCAGTTTTGTGTCCCAGTTCTGTATTTAACACACACATAAGGCGCACCGGACTATAGGGCGCGTTTTTTATATACAGGTACATGTCCTCTACTACCTTTAAATACCTCTACTGCGTATTTAAAAATACAGCGGGGGCAAAACTGAGTATGACTGTGCTTTATTCATGTATTTATTACAAAGTATTAATCAAACCTGGGAGCTGGCCATGAGACAGACACATCGCAGATGACACAGCGCTGTGATCACTCCTAAATTAACTTAAAATCCTGAAACCTGCCGACGGAATATGTTCGCTTTTATTACCGGTATCCTTGTGCCTGCAGTTTAAATTATTTAGATGAAAAACACCTGCCAGCCACCGTGGTGAACCCGGAGGCTACCCGGCCCAGAGGCTGCTGATGAAGGGATTTCTACTGTCAGCGCACCGCTGGTATGTGGGGGTCTGAGCGCCTCCGACAGAAATAGTATATGCAGGATAATAATCTGGATGAACTGACTGCAATTATGAAGTTTTCAGGTGGACTTTCTCACTTAAAAACATATTAAAACTACTTTATTCCCACTGATCACAGCAAATATAGCTGCAAGATTTAGATTATTTAGATGAAAAAACACCTGCCAGCCACCGCTGTATACACGGAGGAGACCCGGCCCAGAGGCTGCTGTTGAATTAAGTTTTCAGGTAGAAAAATAGAGCGGGAGCAAAACTGAGTATGATTGTGCTTTATTCATGTATTTATTACAAAGTATTAATCAAACCCATCAAAGTCATCATCCTCTGTTTCTGAATTAAACAGCTGCGCTAAATCAGACATGCCAGTTTCCCCTTCTTCGCTGTCAGAGTCACTTTCCGTGCAGCGCAGCTCCTCAGAAATAATGCCTGCTTTTGCGAAAGCTTGAACAACAGAGCCAGCAGACACGTTAGTCCAAGCATCTACAATCCATCCGCTAACGGTGGCGTAACTTGCCTGGCGCTGCCTTCCACTTATCCTGAAACTGTGGTCTCCGTCTGTCATCCATCGCTCCCACGCCGCTCGCAGCCTTACTTGGAACGGCCGGTTCACACCGATGTCGAGCGGTTGAAGTTTCTTTGTCAGACCCCCAGGATAACGGCGAGCACAGCGTTCATTTGATTCACCTTTTTTTCACATCGGCTGTGAGATGGGCACGCAGCGATGGTGATGCGTGGAAAAAAGCACCTGGTCTCCTCACATACACCTGCCTTTCATCATCTCCTCATTCATCCAGCCTTTTTCATTTGCGTTAATATATGTCATCAGAGCGATGTGTCTGTCTCGCTGTCAGCTCCCAGATCAGCTTCTCTGATTGGTTGATGCGGCGCGTCCAGAAGCAAAACTTCAATTTTTCCATCTCGAGCAGCAGCAGCGCGTTGGCGGTGCGTCAGATGCTTAAACGCTCCCGACCTTTTGCTGCACCCATACGTGCGTCAACCATTGACTTTGCATGTAAACTCGCTGCTTCTGCTGCACCTGCTGGGTCCGGTTCACACCGATGTGGAGCGGTTGAATAACAGCGAGCACAGCGTTAATTTGTTTCCCCATGTTTTTCACATCAGCTGTGAGATGGGCACGCATGGAGTTACATATTAACAGCGATGGTGATGAGTGGAAAAAAAAACACCTGGTCTCCTTACATTCAGCCACTCTTTCATCATCTCCTCAATGAGGTGGTCTCAAAAGTCGCAGTTACAACACATAGGGCGCACCTCACCAAAGGGCGCACCGCACATTTTGAGGGGAAAAAAAGACGTTTAAGTGCGCCTTACAGTCGTGAAAATACGGCTTCAGAATGTGTATAAGGAAACTTTTTATTTTTAAAGTTGGTGATGTCTTATTTTTTATAGCTGCAATGTTGAAATTGTTTATGTTTGTTAAAACAAATATGCTCTTACACTCATTATTATCTCAACTGGTAATTTTGGTAGGAATTTATCAGGGTTGAGGCAGTGTGCTTGTCTGTATTTGTGTATGGCAGGAGGGGCATATGCGGTAGGGGGCCAGTGCCCCAGTAAAGCTTTGTGCCTAGCAACGCCCCTGGGTGAGGGGTCATTGATGATGTCACGGGCTCGGGACACGCAGCGCTGGGATGAAATGTCTTTAATGGAGGGAAGAGGAGCCCCCATGATCCTGAAAAAATCATGGGGGCAAATGAAAAAATTAAAACCCAAGACCATATCTCCAGTTACCAGAGCTCTTCATCTCAAGGAGTCTCACTTATGGGATTTCTTTTATGGAGAAAGACAGGATTTGTTTCATTTCGTGCCTCCCCACTTACTGTAGTTTCCCTGTTTCCTGTAGCAGCCAGCTGCCTCTGAATCTCAGTCAGATTCCCTTAGTATCCTTTTTTCCTCAGTCAGATTCTCCTAGTGTTCCCTCTCCAGGG